TCACACACACCCAAAGCCCAACCCTGCCTCACCATGGTGTGTGTGTGTGAACAGTGTAACATGGCTCTGGCTTGGAGAAAGATCTATTCCAGTTCTTCCCAAAAAAATTTCTATGGATTTGCTCAAAGATGTGGAAGATATGATACCGATAGTGAGTCTCCCTGGCTGGGAGGTACCCATAAAGTTACAGAAGAAGAACAAAGAGACTACCCTAGTAGCAGGACCATCCATGGCATGGATGGGGTAAATCCTAATGCCCTCTCCCCAGCCACTGACACAGATTCTAGCTAAAAGAGATCTTTCCGCTTTTCAAAGATCTTCAGATCAGGAACATGGAATGTCAATGGCTTATACGTAGGAAAGCTAAACATTGTTAAGAACAAACTGAATAGGTTCAACACTGATATACTTGGCATCATGAATTTCATTGGACAGGCTGTATATGGAGACACAAAATGGTTCAGAATTGGAAAAGGCAATTGGTAAGGTCGCATCCTGTTACCTATACTATTCAACATGTACACAGAAATAGTTATGACAAATGGACATTTGGATGAATCTATCTCTGGCATTAAAATCAGTGGTAGGAATATCAACAACCTCTGATACACAGACAATACAACATTGCTCATGGAAAACAAGGAGGATCTAGAGAGGCTAATCCTGAGAGTCGAAGATGAAAATGAAAATTTGGACTGCACCTTAACATCAAGAAAACAAAGATAATGACAATTGCAGAGTTAGAGTGCTGATCAATAATGAGATCATCAAAACAGTAAAGAAATCTTCCTCAGCTCTAAAATTCACCAAATGGTGATTGCAGCCCTAAAATCAGAAAGCATATAGCATTTGGAAGAACTGAAATATCTGGCATGAAAAACATCTAGAAGAGTAAAGACATCAGTCTCACAACCAAATGCAGATTAGTTAACACACTAATTTTTCCAGTTGCTACTTATGGCTGCAAAACTTGGACTCTGAAAAAGACAGATAGGAAAAGGGTGGACGCCTTTGAACTGTGGTGCTAGAGGCGACTATTACACATTCAAATGGATTGCAAAAAGAACAAACAAAGACGTCCTAGAACAAACCTCACCAAAAATATCACTTGAAGCCAAGATCACAAACAGTGGCTATCGTACTTTAATCATGTCATGCAAGCTGACTCACTCAAAAAGTCAATATGCAGGGAGTGATCAGTGGAAAAAAGGCCACCCTAGTATCCGTTGGCTGGGTATTGTGAAGGATGACACCAGGATGATCATGGTGGATCTGACGGAGGCAATGTGGATCCATAGAATGGCAAAGGGTCAGACACAACTGAATGGCTGACAACCCTTTCTTTTATAGAACAACACCCCTGAATCTTACAAAAAAAAAAGCTGCTTTATATTTACTGCTAGATTATCCCAGCATCACTTGATTTGTTCAGCTTTACCTGGAAATGTCAGACACTGCCTAGGCAATAACCACTATCCATAACAGGCACTCTAGCATTGAGTCACTCCAAATAAAGTGAAACAACTATATTCCAGTGTTATTATGGTAATACCACTATTTTTTGTGAGTTATTTAAATTTACAAATTTGTAAAATCTAAATGCAGATAACAAAACACCAATATTCTGAACAAATAAAGAAACTGTAAGGAATAGATTTTAGTATTTCTGATCTAGTCACCAAAGCAGTTCAAATTCATATTAAATATCTTCTTTGACTTGTAATTAAAACCATTTACTATATATGAAGTGTATTTACTATTCTATTAGAGATGCAGTCTGAATAACAGTTGTATCATAATTTAATCTAACATAATTGTCAAAACATGCTAAGCACTACATAGTTAGGTTTATCATTATACCTCAGTTTCAACCATTCCTTCAGCCAAATATATACCAGCTGACAACAATGTGACCAGCAAAGAATTGCTTCCTGGCAGACCTACGGATAAACCTCTTATTCATTTGCAGGAGTGTGCTTGCTGGATTCATATGTCACAATAAACCATAACTGCAAATATTTAAGGCTAAATATAAAAAAATGTCAAGGCATGAAAATGAGAAATGCAAAGTAATCATGCTTCAAATTGCTTTATGAACAAACCTTCAGTTTATAATAAGCAATCACCTGCTTTACAGCAATAGAAAGTTCCAGTCAAGTTGGTTTCAATAACAGCATGCCAGCCTTTTGCGCTTATTAATTCAGATGGGCTAGGAAATTGCCCTCCTCCATTGTTGACAAAAAAATCTATCCTACCATGAAGATCTAATGTTGCTTTCACCAGTGCCTCTACCTATAAGTAAAAACAAATTGGAATGGTAAGATTGATGTTCCATTTGCAGATTTCTGTACAGCATTAAAATAACTGCTTGGTCTTTTGTCTAAGGCCAAGTATAATATTTGTCTATAAACTTACATAAGTGTGGTGTTTCTTTAATAGAAAACCCTTTCTACAAAATAGTTTTGTTAGGAATCACAATATGGCAGTTAAAAGTATCACCTAGAATATTCTATAGCAAGGGAATTCTACAACAACCCAAGATTTCATCACAATGACAAAATTTCTATTATGATTAGCCTATAGCATGCCTGCAGAAGGATTTGTACAAGTTTATTGAGAGTTTACTCTTAAACATAATTTATAAAGAAGAAAACAAGAGTATTATTACTTATAAAACTCATATACTGTAGTTATTAGGTTATATAATTATTATATAATGTTATAGTCCCATCTTAGCCATGAAAGCCAGCTGGGTGACATATGCGCCAATCACTCTTTCTCAGCCCAACCCACCTCACATGTGGGTAAAATAGGAGAAAGGTGTATTGGATATGCCCGCCACCTTGAGGTATTTGTATAAATAAAAATAAAGGCAGAATATGTATATGTATGTATAAAAATACAAATTATAGTCAAAGGTCCATATCATATATCATAGCCCTGCAAAATGTGTTTTCACTGTATCTGCCTGGCTACCAATGACAGAAAATTGATCAAGAGTTCTATAACTTTAGCAACCCTTTGAAAGGGATCCAATGGCAGTGGTTTAATAACCATCGGACTTGTCATTTCAGACGCATATTTCAGAACAAGCCTCTACAAAGCAAATTATGCTTCCACATGACATCTGGTAACATGATATTTCCTTTCCTGGGAAAGATGATTAAGCCCAAGTTAGAATATAACAATTTATATATGTAGCCATGTACTGGATGTAGAACTATTGCATTAAAAGTCACAACTTGTAATGGTGTCCTCTTAACAAAGGAAAGCTGGCAGGCAGTGCTGTATTTGGAAGTTGTTTGCCAAACAAGTGGAATTATTTATAGCACCATGATGGGAAAGCTTTATTAGAGGGCAAGGATGCCCTAGTGGATAGAGATTAAAACTCAGCATTCAACAAGTTTTCCCCAGGTGGTTTATTTGACTCTGCTGTAACAGATTACTCTGAGAAACAAAGCTACTGACAGATGTAGACATATGAAAAATAAGGTATATATAAAAAAAGTATTTTTTAAAAAGGGGCCTTGATCCCTTTCAGACTGATAATGTCATCTTAGTCCCTTGAGGGAGACATCTTTGTAGCCACATCCTCAGGAAGAAGACAACCCCCTTTTCTGATTCTGTCACCGAGGGGAAACGCATGCCAAATTTTTCTGATTAAAGTGCATTCAACTTGTAACGTACTACTTGCCACAATTATGAAGTGATTTATTTCCATTGTTAAGTTACTAACTTGGTTGTTAAATGAATCTGGCTTATCCCCATTGACTTTGCTTGTCAAAAGGTTGGAAAAGTGATCGCATGACCCTGGGATACTGCAGCCATCATAAATATGAGTCAGTTGCCAAGGATCTAAATTTTGATCATGTGACTATGGGCATGCTATAGTGTGAAAAACAATCATAAGTCACTTTTTTCAGTGCTGTTGTAACTTCAAATGGTCACTAAATGAATTGTTGTAAGTCGAGGACTATCTGTACTAGCAATACAAATCAGGGGTGGGATTCAAATTTCATAACAACTGGTTCTGCGGGCATAGCCGGGTGGGCATGGCCATGTGACTGGGTGGGTGTGGCTTTTTTGGCAGCACCCCCTCCTTTTTTGGTCCTTCTGGGCCTCAGGGATGCCCCCTAGGGAGCGTTTTTGCTCCCAGAAGGCTTCCCTGGGACCCAGGAAGGAAAAAAAATGGAGCCTGGGAGGACACGCAGCACCCCCCATGCTCTATTTGGGAGCCTTCTGGGCCTCAGGGAAGCCTCCCAGGGGAGGCATTTTTGCTCCCAGAAGGCTTCCCTGGGACTCAGGAAGGAAAAAAATGGAGCATGGGGGGGCCGCCACATTCCATTTTGGGACCTCCTAGGTTTCAGGGAAGCCTCCTGGGGGGGGGGGCATGCTCCCGGGGGCATCCCTGAGGCCCAGGAAGGCAAAAAATGGAGGAGGATGGGGGGGGGTGCGCTCCTCCTCCATTTTTTCCTGGGCCTCAGGGAAGCCTCCTGGGTGAAGCAGTAAGTGAGGGGAATCCCGGCACAGCTGATCATAGGAACAGCTGATCGTCAGGAGGGGGAAAAAAGAAATAGCTTACTGGGCAGGAAAGAACGCAGTCAGCGATGTGAGGCACACAATGTTGCGCATGTGTGATAAGGATTGACTGGGCAGGGAGGGGAGGGGTGGGCAGAGAGGGGCGGGCCAGCCTGGGGCATGATTTGTCGGTTCTCTGAACTGCGCAGAATCATAACAACCAGTTCTATAGAACTGGTCCAAACTGGTAGAATCCCACCCCTGGTACAAATGATTAAAAAATACTATAGCATTGAACCAAAATGTTTTTTTTCCTTTTCTAAAATCAAAGCAATTGTCAAATTATAATTCCATTTCCATCTAAATAAATGGAACTTCATCTAAACCAGGGATCCTCAACATGATGGTCTTTTGATATCTTCCAAACTGTTAAAGATGGATGTTAACAACAAAGCACATGTGATTTTTTTTAAAAAATTAATAAAATGTAAGATATCTTGGAGATTACAAAACACTGAACACCTCCTCCTATATTTAAAATTACAATGATTTAAAATTGTATAATATAACTGACTGACCCCTAACTGATGTAAAAACAACTGGAAACAGCAACATTTGCCATTTCCAGCAAAGGAACTAGTATTTAGATCACTTTTTTTGGTTTAAACTTTTAATATTGAGATGAAAATACAGGTGTTTTATTTTCACTGTAATAATGAAAAGAATAACCAGTGAACAATATACTAGTCAAATATGGAAGACTATTTACGCTTTTACCTCTTCTTCTTTGCGAATGTTGCATTGTATAGGAGTCACCTGGGCAGAACTGGTGGAGGGAATTTCAGCAGCTAACTCTTTCGCTGCAGCTTTTAATCTGTCAAACTTACGAGAGGCAATCACTACATTACTACCTGCAAAACAAAACAAGAGGCATTTCAACATTTACAAGTTGTACAAAGATTAAACCAGATCTCTTGCTGAAATATTAAATCTGGGCTAATCATCCCTTCAGTATCACTTTCAGGATTATCAAGAGATTACTGCTACTTGCAAACCTACAAAGAAAGAAAACATGAAAATTGTGCTTATTCAAACATAACATTACATATCTGATATTAATACATTTGAGAAAGTCCAAAAATAGTTCACAAGAAGAGTTCTCCACTCCTCTACTCATAGCAGGATACCTTATGCCACCAGACTTGAAACTCTAGACCTAGAAAACTTAGAACTACGCCACCTTCATTTCGATCTAAGTATAGTATATAAAATCATACATTGCAATGTCCTACCTGCAATTGAATACTTCAGCTTCAAACATAACAAGACAAGAGCAAACAATATATACAAACTCAAGGTTAATCGCACCAAACTTGATTGCAGGAAATATGACTTCAGCAACAGAGTGGTCAATGTCTGGAATACTCTACCTGACTCTGTGGTTTCTTCCCCAAACCCCAAAAACTTTAACCTTAGACTGTCTACTATTGACCTCACCCCTTTCCTAAGTGGTCTGTAGGGGGCATGCATAAGCGCACCAAAATGTATCTATTGTTTGCTCTTGTCTTGTTATGATTGAAGCTGAAGTATTCATTTGCAGGTAGGACATTGAAATGTATGATTTTATATACTATATTTGGATCGGACCGGAGGCAGCGTAATTCTAGGTTTTCTAGGTCTAGAGTTTCAAGTCTGGTGGCATAAGGTATTCTACAACGAGTAGAGGAGCGGATAACTCTTCTTGTGAAATATTTCTGGATATCACAACTCTTGCCTGGTGAGCAAGTAGCAGTTGTGGCTAGGAAGCCTTTGCACAGATTTGTATGTGTGCCAGTTGCATCTGTTCTTGGTTCAGCAGACCCTAGTAGTGATTGATACCTTAATCACCACCAGATTGGATTACTGCAATGCACTCTACTTGGGATTACCCTTAAAGAATAACTAGAACAGGGGTGTCAAACTCGTGTCATCATGGCGTTGTCATGTGATGTTTTGAGACCTTTTTCCTCTTCACTAAACCGGAAGTGGGCATGACGCATCTGGCCTGCGGGCTGTGAATTTGTCACCCCTGCCTAGAAGCTTCAGCTGGTAGAGAATGCAGCAGCATGAACTATTCTGCGTGTTCCTAGAACAGCACAAGTTATACCTCTGTTCCCCAAGCTGCTGTTTCTTGTTTCTAGATCAATTCAATGTGCTGGTTTTAGGTTTAAAGTCTTTTTTGCAGTGGGACCGGGCCATCTGTGGAACTGTCTCTCCTTGGTTAATCAGCCCATCAATTAGATCTGGCAGAGGAAACATGCGATAAAGACCTACAGACCTACATTTGGTGAGTCCTAGGACATGTGGCTTCTCTGTTGTGGCATCCACTTTATGGAGCATTCTTCCCCCAAGATTAGATTAGCTTTTAATATTGCAGAAGTTCCTCAAGACCTGCTTATCTTAGCAGGCTTTGGGGAGGGGCGGGGGCAAGAACCAAAGACATGCTTAGACAGCTCCTTTTCTGGGGTAGACATTTTTATATTCTCATAGCCTTCATTTTAATGTGAATTTTTATATTTTAATATCTGTTGTTTTATATCTGTTGTTTTATTTCATTGTATGGTGCTCAGAATGGCTTTTTGTGAAATGGGAAGCTGTACAAATTTGATAAATAAGTAAGTTTCTTGAGAAAGGAGAACAAATCCCCATCAGTTTTAATGTTACATTAATACATTGATATTAATCATTTCAAAAGCATGTTGGGAATTCTCAGTTATATAGTAAAAACTGCATACAGCAGTGGACTCTCCTTAACTACATTTTATAGTTACAGAATCATAGAAATCACAGAATTGAGGAATTGGAAGGGTCTATAAAATCATCTAGTTCTATTTTCTGCAATTTGCTAGAAAACTAATTAAACCATCCTCAAAACTAGATTGTTCTTAAAAACTTCCAGAGGTGGGAAAGCCACAACTTCAATGGACTGACTGATGAAATCCATCGTTGAACAGGTCCATAATGCCTATATTAAGTAACAGGTTAAGCCAAAACAGACTATTTTGAATTATGAGTTAATTGCAGTGTTTGAACTCAGCTTCTATGATGCTCTTTGATACAATCCCGCACATTCCATTCCACTAAAACACATACAATCTTCAATAAAAAGTGACTACATCGTTTTATCATGTCCTCGAACTGAAATCCAAGCAACACAAATTGCAACTTCCTAGTATAGCCCATGGATATTTCTCAAATAATATGAGCATTAGAGTTTAAAAAGTGTTCAAATGTTATTAAGTATAACTCAGTGATTTTCAAACTGGAAATCACATGCATTGCAACTCAATGCCAATTATCCTATAGTCTAATTTTCAGAAGTTTTTTGCATAACAGAATTAACAGAACACCTACCATTATCCCACTTCTCTCCAATATTGTTCTTTGTCAATGTTTTGCAATGACTATACCATTCAAATCATTATACCCAGTTAGCACTAGCTGGAATTTGACACTATAATTATTTATTTTAAAAGTCTAGTAAATACTAATTAAAACGACAGCTATTCCTAAATCAAATGACATCAAGTATGGTTAAGGGACCATACACATCAAGGGGAAGATGTCATGTATGCATTTCTATTAACCACATATTGTAGCTTAATATGTCACACCAACGAGGATTTATAAATCACAATCTGCTTTTTCAGTTAATTTATTTATTGTTCAAAGAATCACACACACACACACACACACACACACACACCTCTGGAATTTTCTGGCTTTACATACACCACTAAGTCAAAATGTCAGTGTATAAAATAAGGAAGATGATCTTGACCAGATATTCCTATGAAAAAGAAACTTTAAAAAAAATATTCCAGAACATCCAGACAATATTAAGAGCAGTTCAGATCAGAGGTGTTATTCAGCAGGTTCTGACCAGTTCTGGAGAACTGGTAGCAGAAATTTTGAATAGTTCAGAGAATCAGCAAATACCACCTCTGACTGGAGATTTTACAGTATCCTTCCTGTGCCACGCCACCAAGCCACGCCCACAGAACCAGTAGTAAAAAAGTTTGAATCCCACCACTGGTTCAGATAGTCCACTGGAGTATGACAAGAGGGAAGAGTTACAGCAGTCAGACTTGTCAGATTTTATATTATAGCCAATCTCAATAGAAGTAGCTTTAGCCTTCCTGGAGAGTTAATTTCATTATCTGCTATATATAACAGAACTGATTACCAGTGTCTAATATATAGTTCACTATTTCACATGAATATGACCTCAGAAAAAGTATCATAAATAAGAGGACCAAGTTTATATTTTGTGGGTGAACATGTTCAAAGATGTTTATATCAGCATTTCAGTAAAGAGTGAGATCTTACAGTAATTTTAGTGGAAAGAAAAAATCCAGATCCAGAAAATGAAACATTAATTTGAGCCACAATTCAGCTTCAAGAACTAAGTTCAGTGAGTCCTCGACTTATGAACACAATTGAGCCCAACATTTGTGGCTAAGTGAGACATTTGTTAAGTGAGTTCTGCCCCATTTTATAACCTTTCTTGCCACAGTGGTTAAGTGAATCAGTGAAGTTAGTAACCCGGTTGTTAAGTGAATCTGGCTTCCTCATTGACTTTTCTAGGCAGAAGGTCGCAAAAGGGGATCACGTGACCTTGGAACACAGCAACGGTCATAAATATGAGCCAGTTGCAGAGCATCTGAATTTTGATCATGTGACTATGGGGATGCTGCAAAGATTGTAACTGTGAAAAATGGCCCTAAGCCACTTTATTCAGTGCTGTTGTAACTTTTAACGATGACTAAATGAACTGTTGTAAGTTGAGGACTACCTGTAAATACAAAAGGACAAGCAATGTAAGCACGGCAGAATTGGGGACTAGTTTTGATTTAATAAAAGAGTTTAATAAAAAAAAAGATTTTTATATAATTATAGCAGGACACTGCAGTGAATAGCCTATCATATTTTTCTTCTTAAAGAGAGAGAGGATATGCATTAATTTTTTATTTTGTTTTCCTGAAAAACATTAACAGTTACAAATCTGCTCCAGGGATCTGACAAATTGCATTGCTTAGTTCCCGGGGTGGGATTCTACCAGTTCGCACCTATTCACTAGAACCGGCTGTTAACATTCTAAGCAGTTTGGAGAACCGGTTGTTAGAAGAAATTACTGGCCTAATCCTGTAAGGAAGGCAGAAAGGAAACATTCTGGTGTCGCTTACAGAAACTGCCTCTCCATTAACACTTATTACATTCTTGGCAGGACTAGACTTCCTGTCTCAAGAACATCTCTGGAGTTTTTTCCCCCTCCTTTGCTGGTACTTTACTTGTGTGGAGTGACCATTCAAAGTTACAATGGCACTGAAGAAAGTGACTTATGACCATTTTTCACACTTAGGGCTGTTGCAGCATCCCCACAGTCATGAGAGGCCAGGGAGGAGATGCGTGCCTTGATGTGTGATATTGAGTTGGCCAAACCTAGCCAATAACATGACCAACAAGCCATGTCCACCACCTAAGCCACGCCCATAGAACCGGTTGTTAAAAATTTGAATCCCACCCCTGCTTAGTTCCCATTATCTTAGTGATGCATGACTAAAGTCAGTCACAGCTTCCAGAAAATAATTCCCTCCCCAGGTTGAGTTAGATGTGCAGGAAAAAACCTGTCAATATCCACTAAGCAGAAGATTGGGCACATAAGCTTTATCTTAATCCATGTATGAGTAGTTTGAATATTACAAAAGTAATGCTCATCATAAAACCAAAGTCCAACTAAATCACTGATCCAGTTCACACATAGAAAAAATAGTATTTGAGAAGAGTCCATATACACTTTCCAAATAAATTTTTTTTACAGAAATATTTACAGACATTTATTTTAAAGAAATACAGCAGAATGCCAGCTTTTGATAAAACTCACATAATCACTATGTCATGTTACAACAATGTTTTATAGACTGAGCAAGTGAAGAGGAAAAGAGAAGCAGAATCCTAAGGCATTACACAATGTTTTCTTGAATTTTCTTTATTGCCTACAGTATTTCCTTCAGCTATACACCATTCATACGTGATCAGCTTCTCATTAAATTACACTTCCTACTGATACTCTTCTTCTCTCTCTCTTATTCTGAAATGTCTTCAAAAGGATTCCTCTTGATATTCACCAAAGTGGGTACAGACACAACATACAGAAAGGGACAAAAGATGCTTCCCAAAGCTTTCAACTATATGTCCCATAATCTCAGTGACAACACGAGTTGGGGCTATTGGAAGCTGACACCCAAACAATCTGAAGAAAATCCAAGTTTTTCTTCCTCCATCCCCTTTTCCTTTTTTCCAAGAAAATTCCTCAGCCTGCTCTAGTAACTTCACAGCAGGTAACAACTTGTTATGAAAAGCAGGCCCAGACACCAGACTTCTAAAGAGAGGGAACCTGCACCCTCTCCTGTCACTTTTGTCCCAAAGGTGCTTTTTCAAGAGGCAACTGGGCTTTCTGGTTTTTCTCTTAATAGTCTGGCTTCTCATGGAATTCCCCACTATCCAGTCAGAGCTGAAGAAGCTTCTAGGAGGAGAAGCGAAAAGCCTTCAAGGAAAAACCAAAATAGTACAGTTGCCTCTTGAAAAAAAAAAAAAAGCACCTTCGGGGCAATCATGACCCCTGGATGACTGAGAATTTCCAGAGACATCCTGTCACTCTTGTCAAAGCTACACTCAAGAACACGGAGGAAGGACTCGCAGGATACCTAACCTTCGACCCTTCTCCACTTCTCCCATTCCCCCAGGGGTGGAGAAATGAACCCGCTCCCGGAGAAGCTAGCTTTCGGAGATCTGTTGCCCACCGAGATGCAGCAGATCAGCAGCGATAGCTTTGCCGATGCCCGTGCCTCCGCCCGTCACGATGGCCACGTGATTGCGAAAGAGTCCAGCCGCCAGAATCCCCCTGCCGCCGCCGCCACCGGAGCTACGAAACGCCGCCGCTGCCGCCATCTTGACAGCTCTCAGTCGCGCTCAGATCCCTAGCTAAGAAGCCATTCATACCGCCCGGAGCATTCCCGGGTCACGTGACTTGAGCCGCTCTGTTTCCCACCCCCACCTTCTCTTTCGAAATCGGAACGCTGCCTCTTGGAAGAGAGTGCAGTACAGTCAGTGGCAGCCTTTTCCCTGCCACGCCCACCCGCTTGCGACGGAGGGGGCGGGGTGGAGGGGGCGTCTCTTGCTCAAAGCAAGCTTATGGCACGCGAACGGGATTGTGCCTTTCGTTGCATGAGAGGGAGGGGTAAAAAAAGGGGGAGTCGTAAGAACACAATCCTCATTCTCCCCCCCCCCCTTTTTTTTCCCCCTCGCAAGCACAAAAGGTCTGTCTCCGCCGGGTCCCTCCTCTCCCTACTTGAGACAGGCGAGGGGAAGGCAGGCGGGGGTAGATCCCAATCCGTCCATTCTATTCTATACAATTCGCGATCCGTGAGCCAGATTTCCTCCCCCTACCCACCCCCACCCCCCAATAATATCAAAAGAAGTGGAAGAGAGGGCGGCGATGGAGCGCTAGACCATCTATTTCGCCCCTGTTTTTTAAAAATTATTATTATTATTATTATTTCGCTCCCGGCATTGTCTCCCGGCGAAGTGATGCGAACTCCGTTCCTTTCGCGGCATAAGAGCCGCTCGAAGCGGGGAGCGCCCGGTCCTTGTTGAAAAGAACCGATCCGGCATCTCTTCCCTCCGATCGGTTTCAGATGCGAAGGGGGGAGAGAGAGGGGATCTTCGCCTTTCCGAACTGCCTCGACCCCTCTCGGAGGAGAAAGGAGGAGCGGTTCGGGGACAGGGACGTCGCTACCTTCCCGCGAAGAGGCGGAGGGACAAGAGCATCCTCTGTCCTCGGCGCTCCACATGCCACCTCAAGGTAGGCGGTGGGGCACTTTAACCGGCGTTTTGCAGGCCTTGCTAATAATCCTTGCGGGAACAGGTAAGCGTGGGTTTGATGTAAGAGAATGGGGTCTTTTCCAATATGAACAGACCCTGCGACTTCGCAGTCCTTTCTTGTAAGCCTATTAAAAGCAGGCTAAAACCTGGACTCTCACCTGCCTGCAGTTCGCAAAGCTTACAAAAAGCTAGTCGGAGCAACTGTGGGGCTGGATTATTTGCTTTAAGAGATGCCTCCCCGCTCTTTTTTAATTTGGTATCCTCCACAGACGTTTTAACCCAAACTGCTGCGGTGCCCTTTCGAATTGCAAGGTTTTACTGTCTGGAAATGATACCATAATCAATTCTTCCTTTCTTTTCTTTTTTTTAAAGGGAGTCAGATTAGACAGGCTGACCTTTCAGATACGATTCTGGTGAAATTATTTTGAAGCAACATTGAGTGTGTATGTGTCTGTCAGCAGTTTTTAAAAGGAAACGTTGGGATTCCACGGATATATCCGAAATCAGATGAATATCCTTTTACAAGTTTGGGGGTCTATAATGTTTTCTCTCCCACAATTGTATGTCCACCTTAATAAGCTCAAAACAGTATAGTGGTCTGGTTTCCTCACAACAGCCTGTGAAATTGCCTTGAGTGCCAGGCCTAAAGTCATGAAGTGGGCTGAAAATCTAGATTTTTTTTCAATCCAAGTCCAATTCTTTAAAAACTACACCATATGGCATTGGAAAGAATTCCTTCCCCACCTCGCCTTTATTCACCAACCTCCTCTACAGCAAAAATTAATAGTTACTATTTCTCTTTTATATGGGGAATCTTGAAAATGTATTTAAATATTTTGAACAGGGGAAAGAGAAATGTAAATGACATCAACTAAGTTATAACTGCTCTTCTGGAAGTCTTTTGATTTTTTCAGTTGTTGATAAATACTGTAATTGGGAGTTATTTGCTGTACTTTAGGATGAAGAAAAGTAAATGAATTCTAATGTTCTCATAAGTATTAGCCTTTAGCTTTGAAGATTCATGATGTTTACCAGTGCTTGCTTACCATGAACCATTCTTGTGTAAAGCAAGATATATAGGTAGCTACTACCTGGGCCAGAGTGGGAAGGACCTGTTTGCATAGTAGAAGAGGAAATTGTTGGCCATTTCTCATTGTCAAGAGGCTAAATCACACAATGTTGCCTTATCTGGAAATAAACCTACTGAAATTTCATGTATACAAAGAGATATACAAAGCAATATAAATCAAAAAGCCAGAAGGAATGGGAATACTCACTCAGAATCCAATTAATCATAATATAAATGCCCTTTGAATGGAAGCTAGCCCATTCACTGCTTAACTATTTCAGCCTGAAGGACCCCATCCGTTACTAATATGAAAACCACAGTTATGTGTTCATTCCTGCAATACCAGTGCCATTCCTCTTTCATTCCTCCTTTATAGCGTTACAGTCTTGAACAGAGTGAGGAAGACAAAAGCAAAAGGTTTTCCCCTAGCTCATGATCTTGCTTGCAAATTTCTGAAGAAAAACCAACGATTGTGATCAGGATTCCAAGGGGAGAAATGAAGCTCTAATTGTCTTTCCTTTTGGTTGTATCAGGCAAAGTCATAACCAGCGTTGTCAAACTTGCAGCCTGCGGACCAGATGCGTCACGCACTGCCCACGCCCATACCCTGTTTAGTGAAGGGGGGAAAGTCGCAATACATCACGTGACATTGCCATAATGACATGAGTTTGACACCCCTGTTATAGACAGAAAGGAAAGCAGTGAGGTTTAGGAGAAGGAAGAGATCAGCAATCTTTGCTTCTGGTTAGTTATGAGTCTAATCAGCTGTCTATTCTTAGATTCCCTGCTCCTTGCAAATCACATTTTTTGCAACCAAAGCCCACATATAGACTGCTTAGCATGCCAATGATATATACACCCAAGCTATTATCAGCTGTTATGCCAACTCTCCACCACACATGGCAGCACATATGAACTATATTTGTGTCATGTTTACCCATGATTAACTGAATTGTGCTTTACTCAATTAGCCAACTTGTCTGGATTTTCATAACACATTGTACCATATACTAACCACATAGGTGGCATCAATCCAGAGTGGAGCCAATTTGGTGCAGTGGTTAAGGTGCTGGCCTAGAAATCAGGAGACAGTGAGTTCTAGGCCTCAGCATGAAAGCTAACTGGGTGACTTTGGGCCAGTCATTTTCTCAGCCCAGCCTACTGCACAGGGGTAATTGTTATGGGGAAAATAGGAGTACATGTATTGGTTGCCTTTAGTTGTGTGTAAAAATAGTGAAAGCAATAAATAAATAAATAAAATAAAAATAAATTTTCACAATTTGATAGGCTAGGCTGTGGTTGGTTATTTGTAGCTAGATGTTGCATGAATCCAGACATAGAATAGTTATATGGACAAATACTTGATTCTGACAACCATGTCTGCTTCAGGCTAAATATTATCCAGATGTGCAGTAGCTCCTGCTCATGTACAATGTAATTACAAAAATACAGTGTACAAAAATAATAACACTTTATACAGTATGGGTCATTTTAAAAATCATTAAGTGCAATCTTTTGATCATCATAACTGGCTTGGTCTAGTGCGCACTTGTAGCCCGCAGGCTGGATGTATCATGTGCTGGCCACAGCCACCCCTGGTTTAGCGAAGGGGAAAAAAGTCACAATATATCACGTGATGATAGCGTGACAACGTGAGTTGGATACCCTGGTCTAGTGAATTAATCCTCTCTAGCTTACAGACTCTGGAGTACAGTGGAACCTCTGTTATATTTTCAAACAATATATCCTCTAAAATTCTGAGGTTTTACTGAACAGTGTAGATTTTTCAAGGCAGTAATAAATCAGTATTGATGATGCCCCCCCCCCAATGTATAAATTATCTGACACATTCATACTCTTAAGGTTTATTTTGAATAAAAAGTCTTATTCTGTTGAATAAACATATTTTAAAAGAGTGCAGTCAGCCACCCTGAACAGACTTAAACACATTGTCTGCTAGCTAAATTGTAGTCTGAATTCTTAGTCACCTTGCCAGAGCTTCATCTGAATGGAAGCTTGTTGAGTTAACCATAGTCTGATTCATACAAGTCTTGTGTTAGGGAGTTTAATGGCACTTACTTTCTAATAAGTAATTCTACTGCTTTGTCTGTGATGCAAACCAGCATAGATATAGAGTCTCTTGACTTCTATTGAAGTGGATTTTAATTGACCATTAGTACTACTAAATATAGACTTATTAAAATGTTTGAATTATATAAATTCAAATTGTCATTTCTTTCCTATTATTATGCTAATTTAAAACAGAATAATTGAATAAGAAGGTGTGGATATGTGTGTAAAGCAAATTTTGCTTAGTACTTGAAAGATGCGTATTTCTGTTATATTTTTTCTTTTTTTCCCTATGCAATTCAATAAAATTTAAAAGAAAATAGAAAATAAATATGGTTTTTTATCTATACAGTATAGATTGAAGTATGAAAGCTAAATACAAGAACTTGAACTATGGGTACAAGAAGGCAAATGCAATTTAATGGCTATAATGTAATCTATTATTTATTTCCACAACTGGAATATAAAGAGCTACCATATCAGCTTAGATACAAAAATCTGCATGGTCACTAGATGGCAGCAAAGAGAGTGTTTGGAGTGAGTTGAAAAGAACAGAAAGAGTATATTAAGAGTATATGAAAAGTATACAAGCCTGTCCTTGTGAATTAATGTGATTATACTGAAGAGGCATCTGGGCTTAAATAATTGGAGGATGGAATAAAAGCCATCCTCCATCTATTATCACTTAACCAAGGAGAAGATGCAAAAAATATGGATGATGCTTTTCAAGTGCGACCTGCCAATTATCAAAGAGATTGAACTGTAAGGATGAAAGATTTTACTTCCCCTGATAATCTGGTCAAAGACAACACTGCTGAACTTGGTTCTTGAAATTCCTGGTTTGTTTTGCTGAGAGATTCCTTTTTTGGAGAATGATAGAAAAGGTCTAGCTAGCCTTCACCTGATATTAACTAATAAAGGAAAGTTGAGGATACCGGGATTTAATGTTTACATGCCATCTGCACCTAATGCTTTATCTAGTCTTATCTGCTTATTCC